AAATAAATCACTTATTATACATGATATTTATCTTAATATATTATATTTTCGTGTACTTGCATGATTTACGTGTACAATATTTTTTGTTTCAGTTGTGAAGGTTATAAAATGATGTATAATATGCATGCTCTATTTTTCTTCTCTTTTTTTTTATTGATTCATCGATTATGTAGATTACTCTTAAAAATCTGGCATACAAAGTCTCAAAAAAAAAAAATTTGGCATACAAAAACAAACAGTTAGAATTGAAGGATAGAGATTTGATTTTTTCGTGTTGAGTAGCTAATGTAATCGTGCTCTGTTATTTAAGAACATAGTGAATCACTTCCTTGTTAAGTCATCTTAAAAATGAGTATAGTTTTTTTGTTTCTAATAAATAAATAAAACAAGAATATATGTTATAGTATCGTCTGAAATGTGGCTAATTTATTTCAGCATAGCTATATTGTTTTTGGGATTGATGTGATATTTGCATGATTTACGTGTACAATAGAGTCAAATGTACAATTTTTTTAAAAAAATATATGATCGTCCTAAAATATAGGCTATATATATTAATTTCTCACAACAAATTAATTCAATTTTAAATATGTAATTTATATTTGTTGTGCATATTTTTTAGGATATTTTTGTAATTTCATATTTAGTAAAGTGTATTTTTCAAAAAAAAAATAAAAGAAAGGTATTTTTCAAATTTAAAAAAGCCAAAAAAAAAATTTTTTTTTCAAATTTCCTCTTTAATTTATCCCAATTACATCGTTTTCAACCGTAACAAATACACCTGCATAACTAGTTTGTCTGAATAGTCCGTGATTATTTATAATGGAGTTCTTCGAGCTGGACATAATTTATCCAACATTGAAAATATTAAAACACTAAAGACAAATGAATAGGAAACTAATCACAAATACAAAAGGTCAGAATTGTGATTGGAATTTGACTGAGATAAAAAAAAAATATAAGTAAAGTTGCCAAACACAAATGTACACGCTTGTTTATGTATTTGATTATATACTACTTAAATTTGGAACAATTTTATGTTACTTGACTCGCACGACAGCACGATGCCTTTAAAGAAAACTAGTACTCGCTTTTTTTAAGTTATAATATTAACTTTTGCTGACCAAGTTATTAACATTTGCAAAAAAATCATCGATTCTTCCTCGATACATATTTGTCTAGTTAGTTAATATCTATCGATTTACGGAGCATTGTTATTAGACACACATTCGAGTCTGTATGGTCCGTTTAAAAGACAAAATTGATTTGAGCCAGCCGTGTCTATTGCAAATCCAAAAAAACGAACAAGGCAAATGCGGCACTGACTAATAATAATCTATAACCAAATAACCAATCCCACCTTATACTACTAATACACTCACACTCACCTTATGAGATATTGATATATATACATGTCGTGGATGAGAAGTGATAATATATATCAATATATCTTTTTTTTTTAAGTATATCAATATATTTTAGTATAGCGAAAATTAATGTTGTTAAGTGTGTGGATTGCAAAGAATAATATCGGTTTTCAATAAAATACCAAGAAATCACACAAATTGTATTCACCTTATACCAACAAAATTGATGATAAAAAGAGACCAGCGAGAGTTCGAGTGTTTGAGGTGTGCATGTACGTCGCTGGCTCAAGATTTGTCAAGAAACAATATACGTATCTCACGGTCCTTTATATATATGGAAAATACAATATATATAAAAAATACCCTGAATAGAAACTTCCAATTAAAGGTTCTTTGATTTAAAACCTTGGAGTCAACTTTGAATAACCCCTAGACCTTGTGTGACGCTTCAAACAAACGAAGTCGTTTTGATCGTTAGAATCTTATTAGTATTACAAATTTCCAATTAGTTTACCAAATGCAAGATCGATTTCCATTCTAAAATGATTACAGATCCTCAATATGATTAGTGTTATATTTCGTTTGTGTAGATATTTGCTTAGAGAATCTCATTTTTTAAAAATCTACATATTCAAATATAGCCCGAGCGGTAAACGTCAAGAAGTTTCGTCCCGGTAATTTTTATTTAATCTTCTAAGATTTGATAAGAGATAAGACGAAAGATAATGAGAAAAATCAAGTCACTTAAATTTATTAAGATTAAAAACTAATTATTGTCATTAAAGGTTAGATGATTCTTTTATTTTCTTGCCGGCTTCCACAATTAAGCGTAGATGCACTATTACGACCAGAAGTCGCGTTTTTACAAAAATGGAAAGACAAATCGCATTTGCTTGTTTGTTCCTAAAAGAATATCTGCTTACTACTACGTCTCAAACATATTTATTGTAATTGCGAGTACAAAGCATAAATAGAAATTGCCTTAGTTAATATTATTAATTCGAGTTATTAATGGAGATACTATGTGCGCTCTTAGTTCACGCAGTTTCCATGTACATTCATTTCTTCCCAATTTCCATGTTTTAATTTCTCTAGGGAAAATAAATAAACAAAACGACATATTAAGCGCGTGTAGTCCACTACTAGTAGACTAGAAAGCGACGAGTGAAAAACACGCGCTTTAACATGAGAGTGTGACTCACGTGAACTACTAATCAATTTTCCCCCAAATCTGAAGACTTTCACCGATTTTATTTCTTCTTCAGCTTCAGACAAAATCCCAAATCACGGAGATTTGATTCTCAAATTCCGACCTCAATAAAAACCGATCAAGCAAAACCTCGATCAGATCTTCAAATGGTGGATCAAACAGTAGATTATTATCCAAGT